GTGTGGAATCGTTGATTTAGGAAGCTTCTGCCTATGTTAACGCGTTCCGTATTACTTGCGCTTGCGAGGGAGAGACAAACCAATTTGAAGTTTATCAAACCCTAAAGTAGCAAAGTTTAGAGAACAGGAAGTAAGCAGCATCTGACTGTTTGTTTTACAGAGAATGGTTATATTGGTCATATTCGTACGTAGATTTTTAGACGATCATTCGTCGTCATTCAATCAATGATCGATCGAGACGTCGATCTATTTGTTAGTGGCCTGAGTAAAGCAGAAATGGTAATGCCATACACAGAATCCGTTTCTTCAAGGAGAAGCAATGATTCGCTAAGGTATTTGCTTGCTTATCTAATTCAGTGACACAGTTGCCTTTGTTTGGCTGGATTAAAGTTTTCTAACCCATTTTTCGATGCCTGATTACTGATAAACGCCTCTGAAAAACATTAGATGGACCACATCATCGGCCTAACAAACAATATTCGCGGCGTTTGTGTTTTACCTCAACTCGTAATCTACCACGGGTTACCAAATCACGGAATGAAAACTTTTCGGACGAGTTGATGCTAGGGGAAAGCCTGCAAATGGCGTCGTAATTCAAAGGAGGGAGAATAAATCTTAAAAGAATACTCAACGGGCAAGTAACTCACCATGTCCACTCGGTTGATACACCACAAATGTTTGGTGTCGTGAGTGTCCGAATCTAAACCTTTTCGGAATGATGTCAAAGAAATGTTTATCATTTGAACTAATCATCTTTGGAACGGATTAAGTAAAGTTAATCGTTGAGTCCAGAATCGTTCGATATATCAGTTTATCATTTTAATCCACAAAGGTATGCTGTGACTATTCAATCGAAATGTTTGAAGAAATATAGGAGTCGAATAATATTTCAGCTCGTCGTAAAAGTTAGCTTTAAGGCGCTTCAAGGACACTCTGCGCAGAGCAACAGTGAGGATAAAAGGGATATAAGAAAGTTTTTTTTTAACTACTGAAAAAAGACACGATTGTTGCATAGCGCTTAGAATTTTCTGAGCGTTCGATTGTGGTCAAAGTTTAAGGTCTAGCCCTTGCCTTTTTTTTGGAATTTCCTTTAGCTGAAGCAACCCTCTTTCTATTCAGTCGCTCCGTCTATGAATCGAAATCGATTGAGCAAAAAGGAAATGTGTGTATTATTCTAGCATATAACACTTTAGTGGTTGCTTTTCCTGGAAGGACACTTGCAGGCGTTTTAGATTTCGTTAAAATTTGTTGAATGGACACCAGTAAAATAATGACGAGATGTGACGTTGCTCAAATTGTGCCACATTTTGCGACGAATCACGATAATGTTCGATTCTTACATTTTTTCAAACATTTCGAATGAATAATCGCAGTAAACCTTTGTAGATTAGAATGATAAAATGACATGACGAACGATTCTGGACTCAACGATTAACTGTACTTAATCCGTCCCAAAGATGATTAGTTCAACTGATAAACATTTTTTTGACGTCTTTTCGGAAAGCTTTAAAATCGCTATTCGGACACTAGTAACACCAAAAATCGTAGTGCGTCAACCTAGTGGACATGGTGAGTTACTTGCCCGTTGCACATTCGTTCAAGATTTGTTCTCTTTCATCTAAAGTACGGCGCTATGGTAGGCTCATTCCTAAAGCGAGCTCAACCGAAGAATTTTTATTACGGTTACGGTAACCCGTTGCAAATTAAAAGTTGGTACATGACACGAATGCCCCGAAAATTGTATATTACACCCACGAAGTGGTCTGCCTGGGTGTCCTTCAGACGCTGTTGTTAGTAATCTACCTTCGACAGTTTAGAGTAGAAAACACAAATCAAATCGAACGAAGACAGCTTTGTCGCCGATCTGGAAGAGTAGTCTGATAATATTTCAATGGGTTGCCGTTGCCTTTCTGTGAAGACGCGGATTCAATGCATAGCTTTACAAGCTCCGATTTTCTCTACCATAGCCATCGACTTTCCTATAGCTTCATAAAATGCACAAATTAGGAGAATATAATGCCTGACAACTCGGATATGCAAATTTGCCCTAAGATGGGCAACTTCTTGAAAAATCAGCAGAGCTCCTGCCAATAAAGCCACTCACGAATGAATCGACGTCTCGCCGAAAGTTAGAACTACCTATGAATATGACCATTCTCTATTAAACGAAATATTTGAACACTACTGACTTCTAATCTGCTAAAATTCGCTACTTCAGGGCTTGATAATCTTCAAATTGACTTGTCTCGCCCTCGCAAGTGCCACTAATATAAAACGTATTAACATAGGTAAGAGCTTCTTTAATTAAGGTTTCCTCACCGTAATACTGTTCACTCTAACTTGAAGATACGCATATTTTAAAATACTAAGGGTTGTACAATGTTGTTTATATCTGCTGCCCAAGGGCGCATGTGGCGCAGTGGTTGGAGGTGTTACTGCGACAGATACGTGGAGTCGATCCCCGCGCCCACAGCCCACCAAGTCTTCCATCCCTCCGGGTTCGGCAAATTGGTACCAGACTTGACTGGGAGGACATAACAGCACTGGCTCAATGTATCGGTAGGCCACCACGGCTCATTGTAAAGGCCAGATATGCTTTCAATCACCTCCAAAAATCCTTAATGAAGTCGAATGCATGGTTCATCCCTCAGGGATTGGTCAACGCCGAGAGCTTTGTCCTTTTTATTTATTTGTCAGTTTGGTCATTTCTGTCATTTTCAGAAGAATTTATATCAGCGTCAGTGTTCCCTGAAGCGCTTAAACTTACTGGAGCAGAACTGGTTGAGTATGTGAACAACCGTCAGCAGTTCTTCCAGGTCACCTAAGCAGCTGTTTTCTCCTTGGTTTCCTTCCAAATTAAAGCATGATTATACTATCCACAATAGGATAAATGTCCTTTATGGTGTTCCAGGCAGAGCTTTCACCGCTGACCTCAGAGCAGCACAAGGCCCGCTTGATGCACCCGAAATATCTGATTAAATCAAACTTCAACGCAAGCAAAATGAGGGTCAGTGAATTTGATGACGAAATCCCGGAAAAGTGAGCTCCTCTCCTTATTTTGGAACTGTTTTCATTTCTTTAAGCAGTTTTGAGTACAAAATCTGATGACAACTGCAAGACCTTCTTCACACAGCTTCGGTGGACGACACTTGTCGCCGTTTCTACACTATTAGTTCTCGTATTTTCTTCATGATACAACGATAAATGGAAAATTCCGTCGGCTATGAGTTTAGGTGAATAACTGTAAAGACGTTAAGACCTTATGAAGAATCTCTACTGATTTATATTTCTAAAAATAAGCAGTTGTGTTGAGGTTTAATATATGCTTTCTTAAGAAATTTACACTTTCTCTCGCAAAAGGCGAAACACCGACCTGGCCATTTGATTAGAACATAAACAGTCTGAAACTCAACAAGCAGCAATGGCATACTTACTCAACAGAGACCTTCTTTTCTGTTCCGCGTGCCTCTTTTGTGTTTTCGCAGATCCCTCCACCGAATTTATCAATACAGAATTTGAACAAAGTCTAAAGTTCACTTGTTTATCTTCAGCTTTGACGCTCGACAGAATTGGCCTGAGTGCAATTCAATCAGGAATATTCGTGACCAATCTCAGTGCGGTAAAGAGTTACCTTTCCTATTGGCGTAAAAGTTTCTCGTTAAAGGTGCAAAGAAGTTGGCATGTATTGGTGAATGTTTTAAGCAAACTTTTGCGGCAGGGAGCTGCTTGCAGTTCATTGGAAAAGTTGGGAAAATTTGGGATGCCGAGAATAACCCTGAGTAAATGCGCTACGATGCTATTCATTGAACCCATTAAACTGGTACTGAAGAAGGAATGAAGACATATGTCATCTAAAACACTTAAAAACCGAATCTATTTCAGCCCACGGCTTACTACTAGGCAAAATTTTTGTTGGGATGTTTGTAATCGAAGATAAAAAGAGTTGTTCTTTGCGTCGTGCTGTCTCCATCCATAGTTTGGCTCTATCCAATCACTCTCTTGGAAGAACTGACTAATAATTTACTTTTAAAGGGACACCTCCTTACAAGTGAAATTTTTAATCGCTAATTTCGCAACTGAGCATTTGCAGGCTCGTGCTGGGCGGTGTCGGCAGCGGAAACAATGTCTGATCGAGCTTGCATACAGTCCAACGGGGAAATCCAGGTCAATATTTGAATTCGGTTGTAGTGTTAGATTACTTTAACTTGACACTATTTTATAAATAGTGCACGTCCTCACACAGTTTCCATTTGACTTGAGCTGAATGAGATTTTTCCCTGTGGGCTTGTGATGAGCACGACGTTTCTGAGTCGTTGGCGCCAACAATTGTTCAGCTTTTGTTAACCAGAGGTTAGGAATTCTTTATTTCGGCGCCCATGGGCTTACTCTTAAATGAGCTTTCATATAGAAATGTGCTTTGCCGGAATAGCCATCTTGGAAAGTAAACATACTTCTACACATCGATGTTCGATGCGCTGAAACATCCCACGCAACAAGCAAAAGGCATTATTCTATCACCTAGCTTAAAAGAAGGAATGAATCGAAGGTAGAAAATCGACTACTTTACAGATTGAAATCTCCGATACCGACATCCTCGCGTGCTGTGGTGAATCTTGCGGAAATGGGTAAATCTTCAGTTCTGCTCGATTGATTTTGCTACAGTTTGGCTAGCGCTCCTTCGAAACGATACGAATGAAAGCGACAGTAGATTGACTGTAAATGTTGTTCGTAACAATCAATTTTAAAAGAGCCATTCGGAAATTCGGATTAAGGCATCGGATCTATTGATTGTAATTTCTATCTCCTGTATGCAAAAAATTCGAGTGAAATGCAAAATTTATGAGTAGCAAGCAAATTAGGCGGAAGTCTGAGCCGTTTGCTTCTGCGCCTGGACGAAGGGACTGCAAGGAAAGCGTGAAATGAAAGTGAAGAGAATGACATTGAGAGATGTTTATACGTTTTTCAGTCTGGTTCGCTTATATACTCTTTTCATTGTTCAGATGCGAGGGAGGTTACCCTATGGAGGCCTGGGAATACTTCATGCAAAACGGCGCGTGTAGTGGAGGAGATTATGGCGAACCGGTAACTTTGATACATATAGATGATTTTTTTGTTATGAGCATAGGATTTACACTTAATTACAGCACATGAGCCGACATTAAACACTTTGTGGGCAGCTCGCATAATATTTCGATCTTATAGTTGGCAACTATGCCATTCGAGACCCACGCTTGTGAAGAGCTCGAGACTTGCTCGTTAACCAAAGCAGTGGCTGTACATTCAGAAGGAGACCACATAGTATGCTCATGCTGTCACATCTCTCCAGTACCCTTTGTCCCTTCCATCATTGATATTGGAGGGGGTGGTCGACTGTGCTCGTGGTTTCTGCACCAAAGTTAGACGTGGCTGTCAATTATTTATGTTCTTTCTGCTCCAGCGTAACACGAAGTTCCTCAGGTTTTAACGCACCTCTATAAAAATTCTTCCTGAAACTGTCATTTTTATTGTGTTCACTGAAAAAAACCAGCTTTGTTTCCCAATTTAGTGCTGAAGATTGCCGTTGAAAGTCAGATACGAAAAACTTTCACTGTGCTTTGATGTTTCCGATGGGACTGATGAAATACCACGTTTTGAGGATGTTTGCATGCCCTACGTCTTCCACCCATGTGGTCATCATCGAAATGAAAAATACTACGGCAAATGTCCTAACCACCTGTTCCGAACTCCATCGTGTAAGCGCGTCTGTCAATCCGGATACAATAAGTCTTATGAGAAGGATAAGATTTACGGTATGTTAATTTTTAAGCGCCAGCAGGTGCAGATTATTGCCTCCAATTACATTTTTCAGGAAAATCAGCATACATGGTCCCGAATGACGAGACACTTATCCAAAAGGAAATTATGGAAAACGGACCAGTACAAGCTGCATTTACCGTTTTTGAAGATTTTTCTCATTATCAGTCCGGAATATATGTGGTATGGAAGAATTTCTTCTCTCTATCTAGTTCTCGTCACCGTAGTTGGAAATTCAGAAATCAATGGCGCATGTTATTGTTTGAAGGTTTCTTTTCACACATTCCAGCATACTGCCGGGAAACAGGAAGGCGGACATGCCGTTAAGTTGATCGGATGGGGAGTTGAAGGAGGAATCAAATACTGGCTTGTTGCCAACTCATGGAACACCGACTGGGGAGAGAACGGTATGCCGTAGATTGTTCTCTACGAGTGGCTTGCAATAGCAGTTGTCGTTTGAAATCGCTCAACATTTCTCGTTCTCTTGCCTATGCAATATTTTGTTAAGGAGTCCGCCTAAGTGCATTTGTCTAATAGTTTCACAACGACCGTGGGCTAATGGCGAATGAGTGGTGAATACTTGCCCAAACCTTTTTTCATGTCTTTGGTCGTTAAAAATGATAGCATGCAGAAATTCCTGCAATTGCCACATCTCCACTGGTTCCATTTCTGGAGAACAGGTTTCGTCCTTAGTATGAAATGAAAGAAAGTATTGCTTAAAAATTTTGAGGTGTGGGTGGCATTTTATTATAAGCACCTCCCACATCAACTGCATAAAATGGTTGCACCGTTATATCTGGTGTGTAATACGATTCCTTACAAAGGATTCTTCCGCATTCTGAGAGGCGTGAACCACTGTGGCATCGAGGAAATGGTCGTTGCGGGTATGGTCGACGTGGAACGCTACAAAAGTGGAGATGAACAAGTGGAAACACATCTTATTAGTAAATAAAAGGATTTTAACGTACTAATGCGAATAAATATTTGTGAGATGGTTGATCAGGATGTTGTACTTTGTTTAGAAGCGAGTAGCCGGCTTAAACTGTTCATTTAACCCTTTCTATTTACTGCCTTTTTCTTCTTAATGGCAGGGTATGTTGCGAAATATAACTCGCATGAAATGCTAAGATATTTGCAAAATTCCGGACCGCAGGTGTATGCAGTGGGCAACGAACACGCGCTGTTGTCCTTACTGGAGAGCAGCGCACTTCACCACCACACCATCCGGGTCCTTCGACTTGCCTGTCTCTCATCTAGTTCTATCGATCTTTTTGCCGTCAGCACCCCGGATGGTGTGGTGGTGAAGTGCGCTGCTCCCCGGTAAGGACAACAGTGCGTGTTCGTTTCCCACTGCATACACCTGCAGTCCGGAGTTTTGCAAATATCTCAGCATTTCATACTGTTCCTCTAGTTAAGTTATTCAATATATCGACAGTCGCAAGCATAATTGGTAATCACAGAATAGCCCGAGTTAGCAAAGGAAACGCCTATAATCCCACTGGCTCAACCGATTTCGCTTTTGGCAGAAATTTTTTTTGCGATCAACTCTGCTTCGTGCAGCATTTGACCCTTACAGTAAGAAAGGTAAGCCGCAAAATTTGAGGAAACGGCATGTCCATATCATCGTAATCCGACTTATTTAGATCACTAGTCGGCTAGTATTACCTAATATATTACCTGAACAGTCGAAAGAATGCGTCAAGTCTTAAAGCGATGTGTCAGGACAAGAAGACCAGCAGTAGCAGCAAAGGAAATTTTAACTGTTTCTAGATTTGCAGTGAAGAAAATCAGCTTCGTCTTCTCCTTTCGTCCGTTTAGTAGCCACGTCTCCCCTGCCTCATATGCAGTCAGGAAATGCGAAATATTATTTGGGTTCGTCCTTGGAAAGTCTAATATACTGTCATTTTGGTTATATTGTCCTACAGAAGCAGTTCTTTAACAGCGTGTGTAGAAATACGTCACAAAGCTGGCCTCGGAGCTGAGTTAGAAGAAAGTCGGACTTGGGAGTTACTACAGTTTTCTTAATTTCTCGTATGCACATTATAATTTGTTGTGCTCGTTATTTCGCTTTGATGGAATGTTTAAATAAAGAGCTCACTCTCTAAAGTTTGGTGTCGGAGCAGTGGCTTGTGTAAAATCTTGCGTGGGAGGTCAGCAAGGGAAGAGTTTCCAATAAATGCCTTTAAGGCGAGCCTCAAAAATCTTAAGAACCTTTTGCCAACCTCAATAATACTCATTTTCTTCACAGATCGCCTGTCAAAATTCTTGGTAAGATCGATCAGTAGTTGACTAAAGCCAGCATTTAGTTTTTTTTTACACAGTCCGCTTTACATTTACTGCGCACATCTTACCATTTTTTGTACTCAATTTGTTTTCCTCGCAGTCATCGTCTACGAAGGTCTCCGAATATTTCCGTGGTTGCTTGAAGACTTCGTGCTTTTGCGAATGTCGTTCAATGCTGGTCACGACAATACCCTTTCTAATTTTGCCCATAGCCGAGCAAAGGCATGTGGGGGCTCGCACCAGCACCTTGCCTCCTGGTGGACTGTATCAGTAACCAGCGCGCTTCCCATCTCAGCCAGATTAATGAGCCCTCTTCATTGCACAAAACAGGCACCTCCATTATAACGGCGGCTATCGCCCTATATAACCGCTGTCTGTGGCCGATAAACTCGTTTTTTGGGCTATGTTTAATAGCACTGACACTAGACGAAGAACAGCCATGTGAACAAGTAAGATCTCAAGAGGATTCAGTTCGACAGATCATGTTCCTACCATAGCAAAACCCATAGAAGTATTGCGAGAGTAGCGAGAGTACAAGAGACCGCTCCATCTCACTTTTATCGGCTTAAAGAAAGGCTTCAACTCAGTTTGGACGCAAACATTGGAAACTCTGGTCATTTTGGACCCCTTGTTCAGCAAATAAAGGCCCTTAGTGAACAATGTAGTAGTTTAACAATCGGGGAAACGTTGTTTAGGCAACGCGTTATAATCTCGCAAAAACTATATACACCCTATTTTGCTAATGTCGTACGAAAACTGTATTGTGGTAATACGGAAGTGGAAATCGACAGTCGCTAATTAATTGAACTTTGCTTTATTGAGTTTGTCGCCCTTATATTATCAGGCATCAACCAGCGAGGGGAACGCATACCGACCTTACGACCGTACTATTGCCTAACTAAATCATAAGAAAATCATGCTCATTGAAAAGGATTCGCTTCTCGCATTACTACCAGGCTCACCTAAACACTTTAGCTCTTTACTTGTATTTATTTTTATCGAGAGACGGAAACGGTGAACGGTTTAGTTCAAGGGCTAAGTAGAAGGCACCAAGCTTGAGAATCTGCTGACGATAATGCAGTGCTGTGAGCATCTCTTACAAAGCAAGTGAAACAAGAAATTTTCACATTCGACTAATGTAAGCGATAAAAGTTCAGGCACGTCGCTAAAATGTCAAAATTAGGAGAATCAGGTGTGCCTGAAATGGTACGTGAAAACAACAGCTAGCGGATAGCTTTCAAGCCGTGTTAATTACGTAGTGGGAAGGCCACGAAACGGACGCTCAAAAAATTTTATGAAAATCACTGATGGAAGCCGTCCGAGTCTTAGCGAGTCTATACAGCGAAGAAGCGCACTACGCTACTCTTCCAATCGTCAAGCACAAATGAATTTTGACACTTTTTCAAGTCCATTAGGCTGTCAGACGAGAACGTTAGAAGTGGGAAGCACCACACCTGGTGCTTTTCAAGGACATTCGCAGGTCATTGGCACTTTGATTTTTAGGTCAAGAACAACAGTAGTTCCTGCTCCTTTTGTGACTGTTGGAGCTACACAATGCTTTGTAAGAAAAAACTGAAGAAATTCTCACAATCCACTTTTTACTAGCTTCGTAATTGATCAAATAATGCTCAATTTTCTTGACAAGGAGACAAGCTGCACTTTGTACCCTACGACACCTGACGTTTTTGGCTAATTTCGCCTTCTTCCAGAGCCTGGAAAGATCAAATTGACATCGGTCTAAAGCTACTCGATCAAACACCTTCATAATCCCAGAAAAAAAATTGATACGAAAATTTCTATAGGGCATAGTGAACAGCTTGTCTTAAACACTCACTGTTTTCTTTCTTCTAACTTCTATAGTTATTTAGTTGAAGCCAGCCTAACAGAGCCTGATTCTGTCGGAATCAGGAATATTCCTGGCTCATATCGGAACAAACGCGGCCTAAGAATGTTGCGATTTAATCCGCGATCACGAAACACTCCTCCTTGCTGTTTAGTTTTGGATTTCTGGAATTCGTCAGAAATGCATCAGTTTTCATACAGAAATGGTTGAGATTTTTGTGCGAAGATACTGACTCGTACTTCATCTTCTCCTAAGACTTTGTGACCTATGCGTGCCTAGTTAAACCTTTTGGTTGCACTTAGGTTTTCCAACAAGGTGCTCTTCTATATGGAAGTAGAGTAGCCTACCTATTTCACCAAAGTATTCATCCCCGCATCCTTTACGCAATCACTGTCTCAGTGCTGCGTAGACGGTCAGATAGTTTGTTACCAACTACCAAGCGTCGTAGAGTGTTCGGTGGCGTTTGAATCACTGCTAGCGATTTAAGATTTGATGTGCATGATGGTATACTTATAGATTCTATATTTGTATGTGTTGTTCGATCTATCGATGCCGTAAAATTGCAAACTTATGCAAGTCATATATGTTCAGTTTTCAACGACAATTCCGCTAAACCGTGAATCAAAACTATTTGTCGAGGTCATGAGTTGCGGCTCCGACCTAGTTCTAGGCCTCCCGTTCGGCTTTTTCTCTTTCAGAAAACATTGCTCAAGTGCTCCACTGCTTCTCCACAGCATCGTTGTTGCGGTCTTAGAGTTAAACTCCATTTCGACTACGAGAAGAAACAAGAAAAACCTTCGACGCTACTTTTCATCGCTGAGTCATTAATTTCTCAATATGTTCACTGCATATCTTCAACATAGTGGACAAAACCTGGGACATTTGTTTATTGCCGGAAAGCCACCACACTTTATCCGCTTGGCATTACTGTAGAAGGTTCTCGTCAATTTTATTTTTTAGTGAATATTGTAGCGTTGTTTTCTTCCCTTTTCTCTATCTAATGAGATTTTTGATGAGCGCGTGTGGCGCAGTGGTTGGAGGCCCCAATGCGACACACACGTGGACACACGTGGAATCGATCCTCGTCCCCATGGCCCACCAAGCCTTCCATCCCTCCGGGATCGGCAAGTTGGCACCAGACTTATCTGGGAGGATAGCAGCATTGGCTTGATACATCGGTGGGCCACCGCAAGTCATTCATCCCTTAGGGATTGATCAACACCGAGAGCTTTATCCTTTTTTTATCCTTTAGTGAGTTTTTGAGAAGTTGCTTCTAGTCTAGTATTACGCATCCAATACATAATCGTTGCCAAAATCCAACAACCCAATCGGAAAAACAGGGGCGTAATCAAAATTTTTCACCAACAAGCGTTTATTTTTATCCCGCTGCGCCAGAATCCACTTTCGGTCGATGATAAACGGCTATCGCCAAATGATTTGCATTGTGGAGCATCACATGGTTGATCACACAGCATAGGCTTTCATTTCACAATTAACCATCAATTCCTTTCCTTTGTGTGTTCTTCTAGGTGTTTCTTCTTGACCCACTCTATTATTTGCAGCATTCAGCCCTTTATTTGTTCCATTTTTTTCGTTCTTTCCTATTTTATCTGTGTTTGTTTTGTTTCTCTTCCTTCCCATTGAAAGTAATGGATCATTTGGCAAGCACTCTTGCCTGAGGTTACAACTAACTCAAATGACGTTGTTATTCTTACTAAACGAATTGGGAAATACTGGCACATACATTCTTTTAGTGCATTTTCGCTAGTCTGAAACACAGTGATACTATTTTGTGTATAATTCCACTCAAGCCTGAGATCAAACTTTTTGTTAACTTTCAGCAATTTCAATTGTTGAGCGCGATACTGTAGCATGTGATATTATGAGGACGGTGCCATTCTCGGTGTAGATGTGAAATATCAAGACTACGGTCGTAGCGCCACTCAATCTGTAGTCCGACAGACTAGGCGCTTTAAAAACTACAACTACTTGAGATTGTGCTGTACACATCGATTTACTGTTTGGTTGCAAAATAGTTGGAAACATGACTGATGATAGCAGCATTAGGTAAAAAACTAGTTGGGAGAAGCACGAAGCAAGGGCCTTCGTGGTTCAGTGTGTAATACGCGAGCCCCAGGAAAGGTTAATTGTAGTTCAATCTGGCCCGACGTCTAAGTTTTGCAAATATCTTGACATCGTAGTAGTTAGAACTATGTTTGTTGATGTTTGAAAATAGAAAATTTTAGGACGGACAGCTTTACTATACTGGATTGTAATGCTCGGTACTTATGAATATGGTGAGATATCGGATCCATGTATGAATGATATCCCATGCATTGAAGAAGACGTCGAGAGTCTGGAAAATATCTTGCACAAAACGTGACGGAAAAGTGAAGGAGTGTTTTCTATTACTGAAGTGTTTGCTTTGGTTGTAGGGATTTTAGTTGGTAACAATTGTCAAAACAGGCTCATCAACGCAGAGAATCCACTTTGAAGCTAAAGAAAAGTTCTTCATTTCCTATTTATTATGAAACTATGACACATTCCTCACATAAACTCTGAACAAATGGCGTTGTAAAATGAGTTTCAATTTTAATTAAGAGAGAGAATTTAGGAGCAGAATTCTTTTACCTTATATAATACAATAAGGACGAAAGGTTCTAGACTCTTCCAGCGACCACATCATCTTCAATTCCGCATTCATCCGTTCCACGAAGTATACGGAAATAGCCTGAACAGTCGTATGGTTCCATTTAGTGCTTACGAGTGAGTTTTACAAATAAAAAAATAAGAGTGCAATTTTCGACTTACAATTGCCTCAGAATAAGCGAGTGGAAACTCCTTTGACATTTAACATCTCTAGCATCTCGTAGGCAAAGCAAATGTTGGATTTTGCCGTACAGGTTACCAAATTCCTATCATTTCTTCACGTTAAGGAACTCACCGTTCTCTCCCCAATCAGTGTTCCACGAGTTAGCCACAAGCCAATAGGGCACAGCATTTTCCACTCCCCATCCAAGAATCTTCACAGCATGACCACCTTTCATAGCACCAGCGGTGTGCTAAACCTCTTCATTTAGATAATTTTTAAACATTTTGCTGAAGGGATCGCACTTTTCGTTTTATTCCGGTAGCATTTCCCATTGGGGTAGAAATTTTCTTTCTTCGGTTACAAAATAGCTATATCTACAATAAGCAGGGGTGGACATTATTCTAGGTTAACGTTTTGAACAGCTGGAGTCAGGACACACTGCGAGGCTTGTCACTTGAAGAGCAATTATAGATTGCTAACAGTTGGAAAGATTACGGAAAGCTGGACCCACATGAGATCAAGGATTCTCTAGCACATTTTTTACACGTTAAGCATTGAAATAGCCAAAATTAGCCGGTAGCCAGTCTTATCAATGATATCGCTAGCATGGCTTAGAGAGTTCGCAAAACTAGATGCGACTATCTTATTACAAGACAGTTTTAGGAGTTTTAGGAAGGCCGCAAAAACTTAACGTACTTCGCCGCTTTTGTAAGAAATCGTTTAATTTCCCACTATGTAGAAGTCTGCCAGGTCACGAAATATGCTGCGCACTGAAAATTTCTAAAAGAAAGGTAATTTCCCCGCTACGCTCTGCTTAAGAACACCAAACGTCCTAGAAACATTCTTTCCTTATTAATTTCGTAAAATTTCCACAGCGTGGTATGATGTGAAGTACAACCACCATGATGGTGAAATATTTGCAAAACTCCGGACCGCAGGTGTCTGCGGTGTGGAACGAAGGCGCCATTACCCTTTCCGGTGGCTAACGCGTTCACCACCATACCATGCTCGTCGTTCGTTTCGCTTGTCTCCTAGCTAGTTCGGAAATGGTAGTTGCGCATTCGTTCCTCACCGCAGACACCTGCGGTTCGGAGTTTTGCAAATATCTCAGCATCATTATGATTATGTTTGGCATCATACTCTGCCGTGAAAGGTTATAGTAGGCAGCATATGAAAAGTTAGCATTGTAATTTCAACTACAGTTTCAGCATAACTGGGTTCAATGCCGATTTGTGTTTCCCCCAGATCAATCCCGTTGACGAGTGATTGCTGATGGCATCGGTCGATAGAACTAGCCGAGTGACAGCGGAAACGAGTGACTCGCATGTTGTAGTGGTTAACGCGTTAGCATCCGGAAGAGTAATAGCGCGTTCGTTCTCCGCAACAGACACCTGCGGTCCGGAGTTTTGCAAATATCTCAACATCTTTGTAGTTGAAATTTGAAACTGTTTCGAACTTTTCTTTACCCCTATTGAAGATGTGACTAAAGAGAAATGGACTGCCTGCACTGCTCTATCGCAATCGCGCCATCAATATACTTGCAACCGCTAATGAACTAAATTCGCATATTGAATGAACTGCCACATTTCTTCCACTGATTTTGCTGTCTTCAACCAACAACCACTGATGTGATCGGATTCAAAAATCTGCCACCTTCTCTCCTTACTGACGTAGTTCTATGGAATTCTTCGAGGCCTTTGCGAGAAAAGTTCTTGCAGAGCTTTAAAATTCACACAGTCTAAGATTAGACAGTTAGTAGCACTAATGAGTGATTGTGAGAGATCGAACAGGGTAAATCTCACGAAATAGTCCTAATGTAAACACTAAATGTCCTCTCTGCTTAGAAAAAGGAGGTATTACGGACAGAAAACCATGAATTTTAGTGATCTAATACATAACGATAATCGAATATGTCGAAGGACACCGTTTTAAGTTAAATCAGCAAACTGCTCGAGACTTCGCTAAAGAATACCGACAATTTCGTTATTGTATTATACCCTGTAAATCCCGCTCTTGTAATGCAAAAAGTCTTCATAGACAGTGAAAGCAGCCACGATCGGTCCATGTGTCATAATCTCCCGCTGAATGGCACGCGCTGAGCTCGACACACTGTACGCAGATTTTCCTGAACGAGATAGTAGTAATATACAGTGAAGGAATCTTACCCAGGATTCTCATGAGCTAAAGATTTCCTTCAATGCTCTGAAGGCTCACCTACCGTAGATTTTGTCTTCGGGGTAAGGAATTGGATACCCGGCTTGACACGTAGTTTTGCATGCAGGTGTGTGGACTGTTTGAGTGCAATTACGATAGAAAGTCTGATTTTGGTGGAAACCACACGGTGGGATTTCGTACGGTTTGCATGCATCCTATAGCAATAACCAAATCGCTTCAGTATTGAATTAAAAAGTAACTGAGCTAAATGTCAGAAAAACCTTTGTGCCGTAAAGTCCTCCCGAGACAACACCGGTTTGGACAAAGTATTCCAAAGCTTTGATGGGCCATCCACCGTTACATCTAAATTTCGTTAGCACTCTTCCAAGTGCCATTACAGAAAAGATAAATTGTCTATCTCTTGATAGCCATTTCAGTTGTTTTTTGGCAATGTGAATTCCACCAAATTTTTCTCAAAGAAAAGTTTGTGGCACATGTAACGCAGTCGTTACAGCTGCTCTGCACTGCACCCGTAGTCGCTGGTTCGATCTAACGCAGTAGCCTCACCAAGAAATAGAGGTCTATTTAAAATTCTCATTTTTCGTAGACTTTTATAGAAATCGTATATTACTGGTAGAGTGAACGATTGAACCTGAAAAACCCGTGAAGTGCAGGGTGTTCGCTCATCGATAATGTGCGATTTGAGAGCAAATTTTAGGGAGAGAAAAGATTACATGACTGTGGAAGTTTTATTCCGACGTGCGATGGTTCCTACAACACGAAAAGGTGTGCTAGACTCATAATTTAGAGGTATTAGATCAAGCCTTAGTGCCTAGCTATGCCTTCGTGCTTTAATACAGGGGTATTGAGTAAATCATCAGCTCTGGAATTCTTCACAAAAACTCAAAACCTTTGCTTTGCTTGCTATACGCTATCTTTATATAAAAGTAGTATTGTGGCCTTACCCATCACCGCACATGCTGCAGCAACTAAGGATGTCAGCCGCTGAGAGTTCAACCTAAATCCACTTGTAAAACTTTTTAAAAAAAAGACTTAGGATGCAAAGTACCACACCATCTTTTTTCCTTGTGATCCGATGCAAACACGGTCTGACATAACTTCTGCAGAAGAGATAGCCCAGCACGAACCTTTAGCACCGAAACAGTATTATATTATTAAGTTTTTGTTTAGTTTTATTAGTATTAGTTTTAAAATAAATCTAACTACTAATAGGAACGCTCTCACCGCAATCTGACTGATCACGAATGTAAGAAAGTGAGGGGCAGTCGGGCCATTGAGAACGAGAGTCAAAGCTGCAAACACTCCCTTAGATTTTGATTCTCTACTTGTTTCATGCTAAACAGCCTAAAATATTCGACCTTGTATCACTGCAGACATAGATACCTAATTGACAAAGGTTTACGGTGACAATGTGACATCGGCTCCTATTGGCTCTTACTATAGACACAGCCAGTGCGTTGATAAACGCAGTTACGAAGCCAGAACGTCTTGGTGAAAATGTTGAAGTGAGAAGAATAGTCGATAAAGGCCGTTCGTCTCGTTCCCCACAACTTTTCTATTATTGAACAATTTGCTTATTCTACTTGCCTATCCGGAATTTCCAAGTTATCGTCTTCAACCTCGTCCACACAAGGTTTCTTGTTTTGATTGATGAACTTCGGTTTCATGATCTTCATCATTAGCTCGTCAATTGCAGCTGCAGGTTCGACCTAAGTTTGTTCGTTTGTTTAATACTCCTAATTTTTAGGTGCATAACAAAAATGGTAGCCTGCTTAGGCTACAATATCCCTTCAGTGGTTTTGACAGCTTAAAGAAAATTCTGTAACTGCGCCGCAAAAAAAGGGCGGTCAGGTTGAGTTATTGTAAAGTTTTCGTCGGAAGAAATAGACATCGTGTCCAAAGCAAGGAATACAACGATAGACCAGCTTTCAATAAACCTGAATTATTATAAAAATTTTTGATAAGAACGACGAGTCACCTTGAAAAGTTGCTGGTGGTTGTTAACGTAATCGACAAGTGCAGCACCAGTGAGGACTTGCGCTTCACGGGGAATCACTTCGTTCTTCAGCTTAGCTGCAATTTTCCAACACAAACATTGGCTAAATCGAGCCATTCAATTGTTCCATGAACTTTCGTAACTGAGAGCCGAACAATCGAAAGGAAGTAAAATATTACAAAAATTGTTCTTAAACTACAAGAAACGAAGCATTGCATTTTCAAAACTCACGAGGAACATTCCTACCGGGGATGGCAGATGCCCACGATATTGAAACAATAAGAGTGGCAGCGAATAACATCTAAACAAATTTTGTAACTAGTGGGCCATCCTAAAAATTCTTTTAAAATACTTATTTAATAAATCGTTTAAACTTGACGTGGCTTAGAGTATGGTAAAACTTAGGCGAAAACAACCATTCTTATTTTTTCACCTATACCATGCTGAAGAAACATGCTACATGAGCATTGCGAAGAAGTAAGCTTGGTTGTAGTCAAGTGATGAAGGGCATGAGAGGCGACTTGCTATCGTTGCCATGAAACAGTCACAAATCTTTTTTTTAAGAAAGAATACATATTGATTAATCACACCGAGGTTTAGGGAAGGTCGGTTTCGAAATATTACTACGCTTTGTGCTAGCT